TAAGATGAAAATATTTCGTGCAACATAAAATCATATAATAGATTTTGGATATTTATAATATTTCCCGAATAATTAATTATTTACATAGAAGAGATATTGGCTTTCTGAGATCATTAAATATGCTATATCTTTCTATTTTTTTTATTTCACTCATTTACTCAAAATTAGAAATTTAGGTTAGATACGTTGATCATCGGGATACGGAATATGAATTGCTTTCACTTATTTTAGAGCTTTGGCAAAAATGCAAAAGAAAGGCATTTCCAAGAAAAATGATTTGAATGACTAATAATAAGAAAAAAACCTAGTGTTGCAAAAAAATTACAATATAAAGTTTTTTTAATTAAAAAAGTTTTTGATATTGTAATTATATATTTTCTTAAAATTAAATTTCGTTTGAAATTAATATAAAATATAATATGTTTAATAATTTACATAATCAAAAATTCCTAAAAAATAGTTATTCTATTTTCTTGTGTTTTTTAAAATATTTTTACTATATATAGTTTCGAATGATTCCACATTTATCCAAGTTACAAATATTATTTATGATCTTAAGTAATTATTTGCAAAAAGGTCAAAAGAATATTTTTGTTAAGAGTATAAAATCAATTGCCTTAATACGATTTTGAATAATTTCATATCGACTTGTGGATAAAAAAATTTTTTAATGATTTTAATTAAATGTAACAAATTTTGTGTAAATAAATAAATCACTTACTGTATGTAGCCTAATTTTAAAAAAAAAAAATAATTGAAAAAAATCAAAAATATTTTTTTATTTATAATTCAATAAATAAATAATAAAATAAGATAAAAACATAAGTATATACAGTATAATATGTTTTAAGATATAAAGCATAAAATTATATAAAAAATTTTTTTAAATAGATTAAAATAGTAATTTAATAATGTAATTAAAAAAAAAACGTAATTTAAAATTTTAAAAAATTTTTCAATTACAAAAAAACAATTAATCATTTAAATTTATTTTAATATGTAAATTAATTAAATATGATATTTAAAAAAAATTCCGAAATGATTTTTTTTTTTTTAAAAATTTTATTAACTTAATATATTTTTGATTATAATCTAAAAATACGATTTTGATAAAAAAAAATATTTTTTTGAGAAATATAATTTAATATTAATTTAAAGTTTTTTCAAATAATTATTATAAATTTTTTTATAATACAAAATACAATTTTTAAATTATTCTCTATATTTTAAATTTTTTCATCATGATTTTATTATATTTTTGATTTTAATAATATTTTTTTCATAAAATTGATATAAATAATAATAATAATAATCTTATTATTTTTAATAAAATTATTTGTTAAATTTTAATAATATCTTTTCGGAGTATTCCGGAGGCACAAAATTTTCAATTTATAAGAGTGCAAGTTATCGAGATGAGATTACGTACTGCGGTATTAGTGAACTAAAATGGCGAGCCAAAGGATACCTGAATACAAGACTTTTAGTAATCAGCATAAATTGCCAAAACTTCCAGTTCCAAGTTTGGAAGAGACAATTGCAAAATACTTGAAGTCCCTTCGCCCTTTACTTTCCGACGCTGACTTTGCTCGTAATGAGTCTTATGCCAAGGATTTTCTCAGGCCTAATGGTTTAGGTCAACTTTTACAACAAAGACTATTGGACGTTGATAGAATTGCGCCTCATAATTGGCTTGATGATACCTGGTGGATTAAAAAAGCGTATCTTGAATGGAGGGTTTCTGTGGCTGTTAATTCAAATTGGTATTTCTTGTTCATTGACGACGCAAACACACCACGTGAATACTTTACAGCAAATAATGGCATTCGTTCAAGGGGAAATTTTTCTGAATTTCAAATTAAAAGATCGGCGCATCTCATTAGTAAAATGTTGGAGTATAAGGATTTGTTAGACAGGTAAAGAGAAATTAATAGATTGTCTTTAAAAAAGAGGAAGCATCTAATTTTCGTCTTCCGTAGTGAACGGATTCCACCTGATGTTACACGCGCTTATCCCTTGTGTATGCACCAATATACACGTCTCTATGGATACA